ATGACTCTTGAAACAGTGCCATTTAGGAATTCTTTACCGTTTGCAAAAATACCACTGAAAAAGTCTGCTATAGTTTTAGATTCGAACATAAAAGTGCTATTATGCAGGATGCATGGTATATCAACCTTTTGATTTGCTTTAACGCGTTTATTGAAAAGGAGAATTAAGTTGTCTACTTTCGAGTTAATAATAAGTGCTAACAGCTCCTCATTAATGGCTTTTAATCTGTGCTTGCTTTGATTTGGTTAAAAATTATTGTTATTTGTGCAATTGCCGTGAAACCGTTTCACCTAAAATAACGTTTCTGTAGGCTTCTTAATTTATTACGATATTTAGTTTGTATATATAATTCGTAACCTTTGCTAAATATGTACGTTTTAAAAGATACACAGGAATGTAGACTACAGTTAGCGATCAGATAGAATGTGTTGATGGCATCCAAAAGACTATCACATGAGAAAAAAATATCCCAGTCTGAGAATTTAACAAATGAACATGCTTATAGTCTCTATATTGATGGGTTTTCTGTATGGGTTGGTTATGAAATGGATAGATAAGGAGATCACAAACTACTATTTTGTGGTTACTGCTTTCAAATTCATTGTATACTTGCTTAGATTGTGGGATGACATCTCTACTAAATATCAGATCAAGTATATTGTCACCTATCGTTGGGGTACAAACCCGCTGTGACTAGCAGTGTGTGTTATTGTTTGTCGAGAATTCATCATTACATCACTGACAACTACCAGTATTCCAGGGTAATTGAAATCACCTGTAATGACCTTAGCATTGCAGTTAAGAGCAGATGCGTGTATAAATGCATTGATAACAAGATCATTCACATTATCCGAACTATCAGAACCTCTGTACATACATCTCGAGAGTACACTATGATTCAGGGTGTTGATTGATATCCAGGTAAACTCCTCAGGACACTGTTTTCAACTTTATTAGTTTTTAGGGTATCCAAAGCATATGTAAGACAACCACCCCCTCGATAAGTTTCACTCTCACTGCGATAGAGATCATAGTTTCGGATATTTAATTTTGAATTAGACACCGCTTGAAAGCACCATGTTTCAGCGATAAGTATGAAAGAAGGCTTGGCTAGTAAAGCTATGTTTCTTAAGGCTGAAATTTTGTTTAGAAGTGAACGCTCACTGATAAATAATAAGTTTAAAAAAAGGGTATCAAGTGTAAAAAAACTGAGATATTCTTCATAGATGTTATGTATTTTAGATTTGCCTGGACTATGGTTTAATATGCTTAATTGATCGTATGGACTATGGCTTGAACGAACTGTAGTGCAAGTGAGACCACAGATTTTTGAAGGCTAAAAAATCATTATTTTAATAACGTGGATTGATTCGCTGTAATTGACTTGGTGGACAGCTAGGAAATTCGCCTGCTTGTTGGAGTTGGATTGATGGTGCGTAATCTAGTAGTCCATCTTACCTATTGGGGAAGTGATGAGAAAAGTTATATCTTGCAGATTTAGTATTTAAAAATTTTGAGGTGACCGTGGGACACTTTAGTTCTCTGTGGTCTGTCTAATATTAGGCCTGTTTACACGGCAGTTGCGGTGGCCGTCTTGTGCGATGTTTAAATGAAGCGCACCCATATAACCACCCCTATGTTTAGTAGGGTAAAACGTGGTGTCAGGAAGTATAATTTTGTATGGTAGAGCGATTTCAATATTCTTGGTATTCTATCTGAAACCAGACGGTTCTGTATATGCTATCTTCTTCCATAGTATAGACTTTTTAATCTTAGCAGTGTTTTTAAGAGCTTTCACGTTAGAAATACATATTTAGGTATGGGCTTCTAATGTTACATTGGAAGATATCGGATTAATGTCTCCATTAGATATACATTGGTTACCCGAGATCACTACAGGCATAAGTGGAAAGTTAGCAATCATCATTGGTAAGTCAGAGTATTGGCTAACATACGATAGATTAGCCGCATCAACGGGGGTAAGATTATAATTTATGGACGACCTTTGACCAACGCTCAAATGACCTTGAAAAAGTCCACCTACCAACTAAGACTAAATGAGGGTTATAAAGCAGTGTGAGTAATTAGGATTATGAATTACAGTTGATTGTCAGGGTTAGGAATTAGATTCAGGGCTTTCGTCACTAACTGACATCAGTTATAATGCTACAACTCTATTTAGCCAAAGGAGTAGATGAATTTCACGTTCAAATCCAAGACCTGTTATTTTAAATTTGATTGGTTCGTTCACAAATCATAGTCTTCAACTTTTGCATAAGTCTTGGATTGGTGGTTTTATCTGAGACTATACGAGCGTTCCTAAACTTCGTAAGCGCGCAGATTAACTGTCCAGCTAATAAATGTGAATCGAATCTAAACAAGATAGAGCACGAGTATTTCTGATGATTTTTATTGAGACGAATATCTTGAAGATTAGCTTCTTTTAATATAAAATTTATTACAGAGTTAAAAGCGATTTTGTGAGGTATGTTATAGATAATTACGTTATTTCAAGAGATCATTCGCTTAGTAACTTCGCTAGAGATAAAATCGATAACAGATTCTACTTTGATAATGTCTTCAAGTTCCAGTGAAACCACATCCTTCGACAACAGCAACTTAAGAGGTGATAGTGTCTTTAGTTCTTGCATAAGATTATCATGCTTTAATAAGGAGCCCGCAAGTGACTCCACTTTAGAACGCATATCGCTTAATTGCTTATAGATATGCACCAATTCACTCTTAATATTATCGATGCTTTTTGATCTTGATGTAGAACTCTTTATTAAATTAGAGACTGAGTCATTCAGCAGCAGGTGTGGTGTAAATTCACTCCTAACATTATCTGATTCAAAAGAGGTTACTGGTCATGCGATATAGATAATAACAAAGTTGTTATTATCTGAAAGATTAGGGCATTTTCGAGCTCGTTTTTTTGACAGTCGACCGGTTTACTTATAGATGTTAATCCTAATGCTATTTATGAGTTATACAACAGGATTCAATCATATCTAAATACTTTATAGTTGATACCGTATTATTGTAATGCAAAGCTCAAATGTGCCGCTGATGAAGCCGGCTATGGATTTGAATCGCTGAAAGAGAATAAACATCTATATGAAAGTAAATACGCTGACATGTCCCAAATATACCAAATCACGAGTGCTGCATTCCATTGATAGCCGCATTCCATTTCTTATATTGTTAAGTTTTATGCTTAAACTTACATTAGTTTAAAGTATACCATAAAATGTAACTATTTTAAATGACTCTTTTACCGATTTTAAATTAGTCAGCTTAAATATTTCTAAACGAATAGCTCCAGAATATTAATTTTTCAGTTTCATTTTTTCATAAGTACAATATATAAGTGAACTGCAGTAGTTGATATGATCGACTATGTAACTTTAAGTGTTTTTTTGATATAAGATCTGATCTTAATTTAAGATGGTATATTCTCATAACTTTCATATGATGACGTATAATGAATGGGTGTTAATCAAGGAAACCACTATGACCGTAAATATATTTATTTTTTAATAACGAGTAATAATAGGAAAAGATGTTCCTCAGGATTCTTTAGGTAGAAAGTTAATAATAAATATATTTTTGTTATATCCCAATCAGTAGAAAAATTGTATTTCTGACGTTTTGTGACAATGTAAATCACTTAAACTTGTGTTAATTTAATTTCGGTGTTTTATTTACGCAGGATTCGTTGTAATAATATTTCCGGATTACTTATTATTCGTGCCAAACGTTTTGCAAGAACATACATTCATTCGTTAATAGTAAAACAGTGAAGATAACTGCTTCATTCTAATTTATAATATTATCCTTTTATGCACGTTTAGGACCATGCTTTTGATTTTAAGACGCAGTAGAATTACCTTCTAAAGTTCGCGCATTACAGTGAGTACTACGATCACTACTTTTAGCGATAATAGGTAGTAAAGTTTAGTTAATCTAGGTGCGATATCATGATTTCATGGAATATAAGTCAAACACGAATAGGAATTTGAGTTAAAACAAGTTAAATTCACAGTATTTTTTGTTACTAAGGGTTGTAACCCTTTTACTTCAAGATCTGGTTGTTACCGTGACTTTATCTACACTTGTAAAGCAATAATCCATGAAGTCAAAGACTGTTGGTCTGACCTGTGTAAATGAATACAGACCAGCTAGTTAAGGTTCGCGTGATATCTATCATCAGTTGTTGGAGATATTGGGCGAAACGGCTTACAATCGGGCACAGTAAAACAGATGGATCAACTAACTCTAAATTTTGAATTTCGGTGTTCCTACGTAAAACATTTCACTGTCTTTTCATCATTGTGATTTTGACAAGTTTCTAATTTTCTTTTTAATTTCATGTTATCGGGACTATTTCATATGACAACATAGGTTGATACACATTTTTTCCAGGTTCCAAGTCAATTACGACTGAATGGAGTTATTTCCAATAACCTGTAGTTATATTAGATTATATTATGATGCTTTTTAAAGAAAGAATATTGGCCAGTTGTTTTTAATCGGATGTCGGATATCAGAAATTTTTTAAAAAATATCGACATTAACTGGTTGCTAACAGAAAATGAGAATAATTTAAATGACTGATCTACCAACTGCGTTATATTTAAGATCTACATACAGCCAATTTATTTGATCATCATTTTTGTACTTTGTCAATCAACTGATAACTAAGTTTAATTCATAAGAACTACGTTTCCTTATAAATTATGGTTTTAAGACATGATTCTATCTTGTATAAATTCCAACTGTCTAGAGAAAGTGACCAGCTGTTGTTTAATTTACTATAAATATCTCTCTGATTTAATTCAGTTAGTCGGTCTTCATATTTTACTTGCCTATTACGAAATAAAATAAAACAAATTGGTTTTCAAGCTATCTTTTTACTGATTAAGGGCTTTATATATATATATATATATATATATTTCAAATTACCTGAATATTTATTTCTTATTTTTAACAAACTTTAGCCTATTCACGGTAAATCAGTGACAAATAATGATGATAAATTTAAAAAACACCAAAATGCTTTTAGTCAATTCAATTCAATTAAAATAACTACTTCAACAAAAGAGTCAGTTGTACAAAATGATCACGTCAATGAAGATCAAAATAACGATATCAATCAATTTGTTGATTGCGAAAATCGTAGTGATTCTAGTGTTACTGATTCTCAACAATTAATATCACATCCAAGAACATTATTCCCTCGTCCACAATGGTCGCCAAATCTTAGCTATTACATGTGGTCTTCTGTTCAGAACAACAAAAGTAAATCATGTCAAATTTTGTACATAAATATTATAAGCAATACCAACGTTTTTATTCACTTCAAAAGTTAAATTTTAGCTAACTTGATTAAATAAGGATTTTTCCCTTAAGTCATGCGATTCATAAGTGTTTATTGATTTGAATAGCTTTCAGCCAAGGAATAAAGGCAAGTTTGTCGATTTCAGTGAGAATTCAGGACAGAAGTACAGTGAACAGAGTCTTTGCTTATGTCTTCAATATTAATTATTGTATAAAAATAAATAATTAGTAGTAAGTTATTGCTTGTTGACTGGAAATTTATATTTTCTCGTCATAGCTCAACTGATGAGTTCAGTAGAAGATCTTGACTAAATAGTAGACAAAACAGAGTGTTGTTCAGTGTCACTAATTTGCGATTACCAGTAACTATGCTGACAAATAAATAATTGGTTTCTTACTTATTCAAATTACTATGAATTTAAGAGTGTAAACAGTACTTTGACTAGGAGTTTAGTATGTATTATTTTTTAAGTATTTTTTTAAAGTAAACGATATAAATGAATCATCAAATAAAAATATTTACTCTCCTCAATTTTATCACTGAAAGCACTTTAATCTTGTTTAAAACCAAATTGTTTCTCAGTTGGTATATTATTTTATAAGAGCTTACACATTCAATAATTTTCAAAAGACTATTTCTTTGATATCATGCCGACTATTTTAGTGAAGCTACCCTTGAAAGTACTATAAAAAATATAGAAAGACTAACATTGACTGCGATAACACTATATCAGTTAGAAAAAGCGTGTTTATAGACTATTTTATTTGACATACAATTTAGCATAAACTATGTCATTTCTGTAATAATTAAATTCACATACGGAAGGCCTCACACGAATAACAAACAAAATCATGCAGGTAACTGATTTTAAAAGTTGATTTCAACCAGATAGTTTATGAACACATTAACTTAAAAGTGAATTGTATTTCTAACATCCTTTAAAGAAATATTAAAACTAAGGATAAGGAAATAAGTATTTAATATTACGTATGACTTCTTAATGCAGTGTACTCATCATTCAGACACAAAATCGCATTATATTAGTGTGAAACATATTAGCCTCAAAACCCTCACAATTTCCAGTGAACATCCTGAAATCGTCAGTAAAAGTTAGTTCTCACTATTAAGTCGATGAACTAAGTATTTCACAACTTTCGTTTGTACTACACAAACATCAATCCAAATAAAATCACCATTTAACACTGAATTATGATTAAATATTATACTTCCGGAGAATTTCAGAGTGAGATATTCAAACTCAGTAGACATCTAATAGTGAGCATTGTTAAATAGTCACAAACTAGGAAGAGATGTATATCTGTCGTCCGAATGAAGGAAGATTTTCTAAGAGCAATAAAATCATGACAAATAACGTCACTGAATCTTGAGCAAATACTTCTCAATGACTTATTCAATCATATATTTTTTAAAAGTCAAGTGAGATATTATTGGTAAACGACGATAACCACACAGGTACCCATAAATTTCACTAAGTATTCTTGTTTAAGTGTTGTTCTTCCCATCGATGTTAAAGTGAGCATCGATTGATCATATGCTAGTTTCATTTTCATTGTAATTATTATTGTACTATGTTATAATGTTCAAATATGAAGATAATATTTCTATTTTTAGTAAAAAGAAACTGACACATTTTCTCAGCAAGTTACGAACACCTTCGAAATTTAATGAAAGAATAATTTGTACTAATTCTTCAAAACTAGTCGTAAATCATTATTTCAGAATAGTGTGGATCATAGAGTAAATAGTACAAATCATTACAATGAACTAGATGCAATCTACTGAAACGTACACACATATAAACATGATACATTTTCTTATCTAAAATACTGAAATACAACTTATTATTACTATAATTTTTTCTATAAACTATATACATCTATTAGGTTTATGAAAGTTTATCATCAGTGAAATTGATTATAAAGTATTTACTTCTATCAATATTTTCTATTGTTTTCTCCTGATAAAATTCGTCGACATAAATGTCTAAAATGAACTTCGATTTCAGATCTAAAATATTAAATAAGTCTGACCAGTTTATTCAAGCCAATGGATAGTAATATTTAAATCTTTTATATCTAGGTCATCAGTGGTCAGATTGAATTTTTGTAGTAAGTATTTAATTAAGATATTGGTAATACTTTATTTTTATGCATCATCCTATAATGTAAAAAAATATATGTATCCTATTCAATGTGAAACCATTATTTTATTTGTGTACTCTTTCCTCATTCCATAACCTTTGTTAATACCATCAATTACAATATCGTTCATTGAGAAGACAGCTAAAACAATGAATGCGTTACGCTTTCTGGTTTAATATTGACCTAAGATTAATCACTGGAAACTATGTAGTTTTTGACATTTGTTGGAATTATTACATACTGACAAACTTCACAGTTGAATAAATAGGTATGCAATTATGAATAAATGCTTGATATTTTGGTATTACAAATATAGCTGTTGCTCGGTTTATTTTAAACAGCGATAATCACCTTAAAGTGAACTAATTATTATCTAGTTAAATATTAATGTTAAGGAGTAGACTTATTGTATTTCGATAAAAGTTTGTTGTCGTTGCCCTATTGTTTTGAGAACATTATAAGGTGACACTGTTGTTTTCAATTGACTTTGGATTGTGTATTTCATGTACAAATAACTTTCACAGCCTATATGAGGGGATTTTTTTTATTGCATTTAATCAAATAGCATTTTGTACTCGACCCTCCAGTTTTATGAACAGAAGCATTAGTAATACAGATGGAATAAATATAGATCGATCGATGCCTTCCGGACAAATTTCTCAAACCACAAGACATTTCCCTCGTTTATCAACAACTGAAATTCCATGTGAGCGACCTAAATCAGCCCCGGTGAAAAATTGTAAAAAAAAAATTAATCTTGACTGTAAAACTTATTCTGTTCATCATCCTGGTTTATTGACTAATGGAAATATGAATATATGTTAAACAAACAAGGAACAAGTAATTATCTTCCTTCCCTTACGGCAAACATCGTTTTCCGGAATCTATTGTATTTATTTCTGTTTAATTTATGGTAAAAACTGTGATATTTTGATTTGGCTATTTTCCACTCTATTTTCAATTTGAAATAAAAGTATTTTATGAATGTACTGTAAGATTTGATTATGATTATTGTCAATTATTTTCTACCATCAATATCCATCAAGTATTTATTTTTAAACGTTTCAATTTCTCGCATAACTTTACTTTGTTATGTACACCTTCATTTGATTATGTTTATGAGGAGTTTCCAGGAAACAAAAAAACACTGAATTTTTATGTCTTCCAGTTTTGGTGAAGTGATTCAACATGTTATTCATCATTTATAAACAATTGGTTTTAATTATCTACCAAATAATATCGTTAGAAATTTCTTATAAAATGACTACCTCTATTTTTATATACATGTATTTAAAGACCATTTATTTTCACAGACGCTTCATTAACTTTAAATGCTGACTAATGACGAAACTCATGTAACAGTTGAACTGTTAAATACCAGAAAAAGAGAAAATGAATGTGTGTTTTTATGGTCTTAAATTGTTAGGCAAATTACGGACCTACTGTTTAGTAGATGAAAACAGGTCGAATTGCCTAACTATATGCTTGTTATCTGCTATATTCAATTTTCTGTAATTCAAGGTAATTCTCGTAAATCGTTACGGTTATATTTTTTTAAAAAACAACTAATTTTCAGGAATCAAAAAGAATTTTAATAGCAAGTGACCACCCATTATTATTGCTGAAAACCTAAACTAATTGAATTTATGAACACTGAGGTATTATAGTTTGTTACTGAAACAGAGACGCGTGATTGTTTTATACTATCTGAAAAGTGAATGTCTCAGAAGACTAAAAGTCACTTGAGAATTATTACAAAACCATTTTTAATTGATCATAATACTTAGAGATAGTAGTAAACAAATGTCAAAATAAGATTGCCAACTGTATTTCTTCACATCTGCAAGAATTCCAAATATAAAATTACGGTGAACTGTTAATTTTGACTATCTTTACATGATATTTCATGCAACCAGATCCTTTGACAAATTTAAAACACCAAGGACAACAAGATATTGTAGAACGAAATGAATTCATTCTATTTCACGGTTTCTCATCAGCTGCACACAACCTTAAATGACAATTATTAATATAATTATTAATAAATATTTAGCATACTTTAATTTGTGAAGCTAAGATAAATGATCGAAACGTAGCCGAAATCATAAGAAGAAAAACAGGGATAAAGAGTATGTGAATAAACTTAGTTGGTGTCGATGTCTATTTTTATGCTGGAAAATAATAATTCAGAGGTAATGAAATTACTAAGTAATTGGGTAATCTCTCAACATCATAAAATAAACAAATATGTAACCACTAATAAGATGTTCGAAGAGACGAATATCAGAAGACGAAATGACAACAAATATAAAAGGTTGTTAACAGGGCTGAAAAAAGTATTAAAAGTTAAAATCAATAAGGCTTATTAAGTGAACACTCAATCACCATCAGAGGGAAATGTAAATCACATTTTTCTTCTATAGACATAGATTAGGTCGGAAACGTTTGATAGCGATTGCCTCAGCCAAATAGAGTAAGACTGTTTTTGTCCGTTAATTATTTTAAGTGTATTGCTCTTATTTACTTCATTCTCACTATCGAAATGTCTGGCAATTGCACTTGTAAAGATTAAACTCCATTATGATAATTAGGAATATTCTAATTAATGTGTTAACTACTAAGAGTTCTTGAAATAGTGCAATTTAAAACAGGTAGAACTAGATGAGCACAAATTAACGTATTATACTTGGAATTCGTAATCAGTGGGCCATCAACTACAAAGGAATCCTTAGTTTGTACAAATACCACATCTCTTTATTAATATTTTTCATCCCTGTTTACACGATATCATTATAGTAGATAATCAGAAATGTGCAGTCGGGTGATTTGGATAGAAGATGCAAAATACATGTGAAGACAGTTTCGTTCTTTAAAATCCAACTATGTAAAATGACATAAAAATTAAGTCGTTTCTTCAATTAATAGTGATCAATGTTTTCGATACTGTTTAATTACATATGTATACTTCAATGTACCGAAGAAAATTATTTCAGAAAGTCTGGTGAATGTTTCTGCTGGTGATTTATCAAATGTTTCAATTAATGACATTAATAATGTAAATGAAAATGATTTTCAGTGAGAAACAAGTATTTATCCTAATTTAACAATAAAGAAATGTGTAATAACGTTTGAATTATGTTCTTTTGTAAGATAAGAATGAGTTCAATATGTATGTATATCTATTTACTGCATTACAGCTCAGTATATAGTAACTTTAAACACTTTAATAAACATATACAAATATAGGCATTATCAGAGAAGAGTTCAAACTGACCATGTTCCTGGCTTTAATGTTAATATATTGTCATAATACAATTAGCAAATCAACAAAAACATAGGTAAGTGTGTGGATGGTTGTCATACTTTTGCCTCTGTTACACTAGTACGTTATATGACAATGTTTAATTAGCTTAGTTTTAAATACATGTAGCAAAGTAAACCAATAGATTATTAACCATGTTTAAACTTTACGTATATATGTTATACTTTTTGGCGAAATAAACCTTACTAATTTTTATATGCAGTTATTTTTAAGGTAAACAGTATAAATGAATCATCAAATAAAAATATTTACTCTCCTCAATTTTATCACTGAAAGCACTTTAATCTTGTTTAAAACCAAATTGTTTCTCAGTTGGTATATTATTTTATAAGAGCTTACACATTCAATAATTTTCAAAAGACTATTTCTTTGATATCATGCCGACTATTTTAGTGAAGCTACCCTTGAAAGTACTATAAAAAATATAGAAAAACTAACATTGACTGCGATAACACTATAGTATATTGAAAATTCCCATTTTGACATTTGGTTAGTAAAGAAGGCATGAATCGAGCGAAGAAATTTCTTTTCAATTAGTTTTTCATCATGGCTCTACATGTATATATATGATTTACAATAATGAAATAATACTCATGGAGTAGATACGTTACGTAATAATTATATAATGACATATCAAGTGTAAATTAACACTGGAAGAAAGAGGACTAATAATAATCACAGTAATTTTTCAATAATCAGATAGTTGCACCGTTGCAAAATATTAAAAAAAGGAAACTAACAAAATATTTTGATGAATGATCAGTAGTATAGTGGTTATGTAAGAATCAAAAGACGAATGTTGCGAATAAGTAAAATACAAAAATGCAAAAGATGGAAGAAATACGAAAAAAGTTTACCAAAGTTCTGCCAACAAACACCATATTTGTTAGAAAAAGCTTGTTTATAGACTATTTTATTTGACATACAATTTAGCATAAACTATGTCATTTCTGTAATAATTAAATTCACATACGGAAGGCCTCACACGAATAACAAACAAAATCACGCAGGTAACTGATTTTAAAAGTTGATTTCAACCAGATAGTTTATGAACACATTAACTTAAAAGTGAATTGTATTTCTAACATCCTTTAAAGAAATATTAAAACTAAGGATAAGGAAATAAGTATTTAATATTACGTATGACTTCTTAATGCAGTGTACTCATCATTCAGACACAAAATCGCATTATATTAGTGTGAAACATATTAGCCTCAAAACCCTCACAATTTCCAGTGAACATCCTGAAATCGTCAGTAAAAGTTAGTTCTCACTATTAAGTCGATGAACTAAGTATTTCACAACTTTCGTTTGTACTACACAAGCATCAATCCAAATAAAATCACCATTTAACACTGAATTATGATTAAATATTATACTTCCGGAGAATTTCAGAGTGAGATATTCAAACTCAGTAGACATCTAATAGTGAGCATTGTTAAATAGTCACAAACTAGGAAGAGATGTATATCTGTCGTCCGAATGAAGGAAGATTTTCTAAGAGCAATAAAATCATGACAAATAACGTCACTGAATCTTGAGCAAATACTTCTCAATGACTTATTCAATCATATATTTTTTAAAAGTCAAGTGAGATATTATTGGTAAACGACGATAACCACACAGGTACCCATAAATTTCACTAAGTATTCTTGTTTAAGTGTTGTTCTTCCCATCGATGTTAAAGTGAGCATCGATTGATCATATGCTAGTTTCATTTTCATTGTAATTATTATTGTACTATGTTATAATGTTCAAATATGAAGATAATATTTCTATTTTTAGTAAAAAGAAACTGACACATTTTCTCAGCAAGTTACGAACACCTTCGAAATTTAATGAAAGAATAATTTGTACTAATTCTTCAAAACTAGTCGTAAATCATTATTTCAGAATAGTGTGGATCATAGAGTAAATAGTACAAATCATTACAATGAACTAGATGCAATCTACTGAAACGTACACACATATAAACATGATACATTTTCTTATCTAAAATACTGAAATACAACTTATTATTACTATAATTTTTTCTATAAACTATATACATCTATTAGGTTTATGAAAGTTTATCATCAGTGAAATTGATTATAAAGTATTTACTTCTATCAATATTTTCTATTGTTTTCTCCTGATAACATTCGTCGACATTAATTGCCCAAAATGAACCCTTTGTAATAAGTATATACTCCAACAAAATGTTTTGTTAAATCTTTTTCTGAGTTTAAATGTGGTTTTTCATCGCGAAATAAAATAAAGCTTTCCATAAAATCTTGATAAATAAATTTATATTCCGGAGTACATATTGCTATTATGGTGAAATGACGTTAATTTTTCTTAATAAATCTTTATTAATATGATTTCATGTATCAATAGAACTCAATATTCATTAATAAAGTATTCACATTGTACTAATTATAATAATATAATATGATGCAATATTCAATTAAAATTCATGCTGTGAAACTGATTATTATAATTGAATGATTAGATATATGGATACAATGGAGTTCATTAGGCAAACGATATTAATAGTGAAATACTTATTTTAAAAAAACAAATCAATAGCTTCATGTTTTTTTTTAAAAATTACATATTAAATCAATTAGAATTTACTACTTAAAAATTACAATCACCTGAGAGCACTTCTTCACACAAAAAGAAAATCTATGATGAACCTTCGAGTGAATAAAACAATTTGGATTGTCAATGTGAGAGAACAATTAGGAGTTAAATAATGTTAAAAGCTGTAGTTAATGATAAAGTGAAAGATTGTGAAAGTTTCCAGGGTAATTTACAACAAGTTTATCTTATAAGTAAGGATGGATTGTTACTAGTAGTGAAGTCCGTAAGTCGCGTATCATCCTATTTAGGACACGTCAGATGGATGTACCTGAATCTCAGAGTTGATGTTCACGCTGGGACTCGAACCTAGTGTCGTTCACTTCAAAGCGTTACCCAATAAGCTATCAAGACTCAGTAGCTTAGTGGATAACGCGGTGGCTATTGGAACGAAACGCACTGGGTTGGATTCCCGAAGTGAACATCAACTCTGAGATGCAGGTACATCCAGCTGACGGGCTTCAAATAGAACGAAACGCACATCCTTGATTCCACTGCTAACCACTATCTATCTTTGCTTATGAACCTTGTAATTTAAGGCAAAGGATGCACATATGTCAACAAGAGACTGATCAATTACAGCTCTAAACAACAATGGGATAATACAATCAAACAACCCCAAGTGAGTTTAAACTAATCTTATTTCAAGGTTTTTCATTAAGTGACAACAGTGTGACGCAACACTAAGTAATAAAGTAATATAAACATTAAATATTTCCTTTTGTTAGTTGTTGACATTGAGACAAAGTTTCATGATAAGACTATGAATAAGATGAACCATAAACAATGGGACAGAGATGATTCATTTTGATTGGAAATATTCTGCATTTCTACACGAAATACCGTGCATTAAAAAGAAGCAGGCCGATTTAACGAAAAACTAAAGAAATATATCAACTATATTTGATATGTCTTGTCCATTGAACGCTACTTGT